CAAAGGACTTATAAACAGGCCAGAATTTTATTTTGCGGAATTTTATTGAGATGGTGTATTATTAGTTTTTGTTTTTGTTACTAAACTTATAAGAAACACTGAAACCAAATAAAGCAATTTAATTGTTTGGTATTTTACCTAACCAAGGCATAAAAAGGGTCTGGTTAGGTGTATTTCATTGACATACACGTTCGATTTGAAGATTTTAAACTACTTCAACTTAGTGACTTCAAGAAATCAGTACCTTGACTAAGAACTACTAGCAATAAAACAAACTTTCACGTTTACCGTTTTACACCTTACTTTATATGTCATACAGTATATTTATGATTTATGAAGTAAAACTACATTTTAGGCTCTGTCTTGGATCATTTCAGTAGCAAGATGTAGAAATGATTTGATCTCTCTATTTACTGACATACATTTGTGTCGTATCTGTGACGTACGTACATTAGGTAAGTACTTGCCGCTAGAATCAAAAATATACCCATCTTGTTATGTTCTGTCTTATATTAAAAACTAAGACAATAATAATATCAAAACACAATTTTCAAGATTAAGATTAAGATGAACAAATCGAGAAACTTATTTTGCCAAGACCGCTTGGTCCAGAGCTCGAGTGTACTCCGTTTTCAAATCTTTAAAGTGAAAAACATACATATTCTCGTCATCCTAAGGTCGTCAGTCCTAAAACAGGTCGAATATGCATCTTCACTCTTTCATATCCTGAGTTAATCTTCGCATTTCCCTAAAACTAACTATTTGCAAAAAGTAATCTAATGTAGGTCTACATCTTCCCATCTTAACTTTCGTTTCTGCCTACGTACTTCACTAATGCCTACTATATATATTTCTAATCTATTAATCTCAACCTTCAAATTTTCTAATTTCCCTGCTTGCTTCACTGTTCTAATATTCCACGCTCCGACTCGTGAAGTATTGCACCTTCTCCTATTGCACTTGATGACTTCCCTCGAGGTGGTCCCAGCCCAGACATCCGAATGAGGGAGTAGTTTACGTCCAGAGTGCTTTATTCCGTAGGACGCTGAGGTAACCCCAGCTCGGACATCCGAATGGGGGACTAGTTTACGTACGGAGGGTTTTATCCCAGAGGACACCTTCATTTAAGTTGTAGAGTGAATTTTACTTGGGATATCATAATGTGATGATTTCTTGTTACGTTTCACATCGCAGATCTCTGCCGCCCGGAGTACTGAAAGAACTGCTGCCCTAATTCAGGGACTTGCCTTAGTCTAGTTTGTATTTAAGAACCCCAAATTATGATTGAACCTATGATCCGGTTCCCTAGATAATCGTTTCCACCTACTCTAGGTTGTACAAGAGCTTCGTCAAGAGTTAATAAAACCAAAACTCCGAATTTGATGATGTTACTCGTCCCCGTTAGAAATTAATTTATATGTTACGATGTTACGATCAGCTAAGGATTAAGGATTAAGTCTTTAGATTTTTTCGAAGAGATAATGTGACCACAATTCAAGTTTAGTTTTAAAACAAAACTTTGAAGATAAACAAGGAATTTACAAAAGAATTATTTATTACTTCGAATTATTCTATTCGATTATGGTAACGTGCCTATCACGTTGAGGTTGGCTACGCCGGGATTCGTTTTCAGCAAGTAGATATCCACACAAGTGGACCTTGTTGGAGCATACGTAATCGTAAAATGTAGCATCGTACTACAGATGGCGTTTACCGCGCCATTTGTGGTATTTTCTAAAACGCGCTGTTAAGACAGAAGGTAAAAGTTGGTCTGTGTTCTGGCGGAGCTGTCTGCGACGCGCTGATGAGATCCAAAAAGATCGAAATCGCGATCCGCGTCTGGCAGTTTCGACAGAATACAGACCAATTATTTTATTAAGGAATTTACGATTCCCGCGTGATTAAATTCAACTGTATTCGGTGCAGCTTTGTTTCTGAAAGTGCCTTATCAGTGTTTTCACTAGCAGACGCATCGTTAACAATTCTGGACCGTTGATAAATTCGCTATTTCAATTTCAAGCGTTGGGTAATCCATTATGCATGAAACCGACCTATTTATTCCGAAGTCAAAGTTTAACTTTGTTTGTATGCAAAGCAGGATCGTAAACAGGGATAACAACACTGCGAGAAAAAATTGTCATTCAAGTTGCTCCTTCACAATCAACTTCACGACGAACGACCATTCAGTCGTAATTCGGTTTTTTCCATAGTACGTCTTTTATTTGAGACGTCTATGGAACTGTATTAAATGTAACTAAATACACAAAAACAAAAACTCGTCAAGTGTAACTAAATTTAAAAAAGAAAGTAAGAGTCTACAACCATACTTTTGATGACTCCTTAAAGCGGTAGACCCCAATCAGAACACCAGTAGTTCACTCCCTATAGTGTTAACTTAAGCTCCTAAAGAATTTTTAAAAAATATGGGGATTATTTTTTTCTCAAGTTTTCCGCTAATTAGGTCAGGTACGTCTTTACAGTTAGTACTGTTTTCGTTTCAGGAAGTTAGAGATATACCCCTTCCCTTTGTTAGGATGCGCCGTAGCATAATTCCAAATTCAATCATATTTGTCTGCGTAGCTCATTTCTCCACCGATCATCGAGCGAGAGCTAGACAAAACTGTACAGTACCATTTGCAAAATTATTTAAACTGCCTCGTTAAAATTTAAGAATATGCTTTATTTAAAAGCATATTTAGCCAAAAATAATAACAAGTGAATTGACTTAACGTTCTACACACCTATAAAACTTTTGCTTTGTTTTCTATTGTTAATTTATATACATTTTTGTTTTAAGAACTTGCTAAACATTTTCGTCTAGTACTGTACACTTCTAGCCGATCTCCTAAGACCGCCCATCGAGAGCTCTGCTCGTTCAAGCTTGTTCCAACTATTTCTGTCTTGCTCACGCCTAGTGTGTATGTGTGTTGACAGTGTGCGGTCGTGAATTGTCATGGATAAAAGTCCTGACCATCCACCGTACAGCTCAGATCTCGTGCCTAATGATTTTCTGCCTCTTTGACAATTGACGGCATAGTGTAGTGAACAACGCTTTGCCACAAACTACAGAACGATGAAAAACTTACCTTGTCTCATTGGCGACAAATAAAATTGTTTTGTTATGCATCGTTTTCATCTTTAGGGAACTTTCTTTAAAGTCCGATGTTGGCAACATGCTCAAATTTTGCTTGTCTGCATCATTTTTTTGTTACAAATTTATTGGTGTAATGTTATTCTTTTTTCTTTATTAGTGTCCGCTGCAATTCCTACCTAACATCTCTTTTCTATGTTTACGATATACTCTACAAAGTCTGTTGTGAGTAAAAGTGGGCATTCTGTCACCTCTAGTCTAGCTAGTAAGTTGAAAGAAGAAAGTAAATTCAACAGTTTTATTGCGGACTATGCCAATTTTAAACGTTCCAGCTATAGCAGACTCTCTTATATAAACATCCAAAGGTCGTAAAGTTGAGATCAAGCGGCATGACCTAGAGGTTTAGACCATTGTATACTCCTCATATAATCTTTCACTTTCGTCCGTTTCATTATTCTTACCACAGCCACCACCCACGCACCCACCCACCCACTCTCACGATTCCTAAATGGAGGCTAAAGAGGCCCTACCATCTGGCATAGTACGAGGGACTGCCCGCCCTCCACTATTAGGAACTGGTTGGAGTGAAACACCAAAAAGTTTTTAAAGTTTCATAAATTTATTTCTGCCACTAAGGAGACTCCTGTTTCTAAAAGTAATCACTATTATTTCTGAATTTCTGATTTTGTCTGTACTTTTTATTCCCTACATACTTCCCTCTTTTGACCGTTAAGACCCTGCAAGTTTCTCTAGATGGTTTTCGGTAAAGAACCAAGGGTAAAGGCCTAGATGATGGCCCCGACCCCCAAAGGTGGTGGGGGTTGGGGGGATCGAAAGAGGAGGTCTCCCCCCCTACTGTACCATAAAAAATTCGTGGTGGTCTCAAAAGTCTAAAAAGTTATGGGGGTTCAAAGTTAATAAATATGACAATTTTTATACATTTCTAGGCATGTAAATATTTATATAGTCATTCTTAAACAATATTCAAAGGTAAAACTAATGGAAATACGTAAAAATATTGAGAAAGTTATATAAAACATTATTTAAATATCTTTATCAATAGGGTAGGTTAGGTTATCGGATTTTGTTTAAGTGACCATCCTCTTTCGATCCCCCACTTCCACCCGCTTGAAAATAATTATTTTATTGAATTTTATTTGAATTATAGTGTATGAAAATTGTCAAAATAATCAACATTCAACCCCCCTAACTTTTTATGGGGGTGAGACCGCCGCAAATTTGTTATGAGGTTTTACTCAGATGATCACCCTCTTTCGATACCCCCTTCCCTCTTTCGATCGCCCCTACCCCCACCCCCATCTAACCCACATAACTTTTTATGGGGGTGAGACCGCCACGAACTTTTTATGGTACATGGTGGTGGGGGAGATCTCCTCTTTCGATCCCCCGAAGGGGGTGGGGGCCATCATCTAGACATTTATCCGGAAATGTTAAACGTCTACATTTTAGTATGGATGCTTAATTCATGATTTTTAAGGGGCCAGTGATTTTTCCAGTTGTTCGGATATATTTACTAGTCATTATCCTTTTGGTCATTAAAATAGTTACAAGGACCCACAGTTCCTTTCATCATCGTCGAGTCCTACTCTATTAATTAAGTAATTCAACAGCTATACTCCTTTAGTTCTGACGATGACACCACATTCGAATCTCTCATTCTATTCGAACGTTTCCCGTATCTCTTCTCCGTGTGCAGGCATTTGTAACCATTTCTCATTTACATTCATTCGATCGTTTCACTGGCACGCTTAATAAAAATTCGCTTCACGTAAACTGGTTCACTGGAGTAGCTGGTGGCCTGCAGCGTACAAGACGACCTTTCACCTGGCCCCTCTTTGGTATGGACTCTCTCCGGTCGGTCCGATCAGCAGCCGACACAAGTCAGCACACCCAGCAAGCACCACCACCAACTACAGCAGCGAGCAACAGACGCCGCTCGTTGTTACAAGTTGCTTGCTGGTACTTGGTACTGCATCGATTGATTCTAAGTCATTCAGTTAGTGTGTCGATGGGACACTTTGTTTGTTCCTGGTTGCGATCTTTTTTTCATCTTCTTCACTCTTGAGACCACCTGTTCCGCTGAGTCCTCTTTAGTTCCACCAGTCGGTAACCCTTCAACTTTGCACCTAGCCTAAAAACTTGGTAAGTAAGTAAGTATTAGTGAGTTAGTTATTAGTCGTTAGGTCAAAACTGGCCGACTTTTCATGCAAATTAATTGTCACATATCCAGTAAATATAATACATATGTGCAGTAATATTATTGTTAATACAACTCAGAACTCAGTGCTCTAACTATAATATAATATACATATATATCTATATATGAGGTTACTCCCCCTCTTTGTAATGTTCCTCAAGCCCCTCCTGTTTATTTTAATTTGTTCGGTGGCATTGACGCATACGTGTTTGTGCATACCAAAGGTGACCTAGATGAAACAATGAATCACTTACTTGAAGCTTTTGTAAAATAGAATCGCACCTAAGTGCTCAACCGTTGCTTACGTATTCAAGGGGAGACAACTCAAATATCTACATATTTTTAAAGAGGAAGTAAAAGTATTCAGCTACGATATCTATCGCATACTAACAATTTAAGAGATTACCAACTTAAATAAATTATTTACCAAAAATAAACTGATTCGTTCAAGTTATACCATGATAAAAGGGAAAGAAAATTGTATATAAATAGTCAAAATAGTAATACCCATGTGGTCAATTATTGAATCAGACTATTACTTTTTATATGTCTCAACTAACTGTAAAGAAGTGAAATTTAGTATAACCGCTCTATAACTGTTACGTGACCTTGAAATGTCAATAAGTATCAAGTTAGTATGTAAAATAAATTATAGAATACCTACTTCTCAATTCGTGTAAAAATTTGTTGGTGAAGGTGTTAAAAATTAACAAAATGTTGTCGTCAAAAGTTATCGGCAAGGAATCATTAAGCATAAACATATTCGAGGGTGCTGTGCATGTTTTAAGAAGGGTAGTAAATGTCACAAACCAAAATTTTGTTTTAGTTCTATGCAGTAACGAATGTTGTGGTATTTATTTTCATGATAACTCTAATTAGGCACTTAAACTACTTATTATCTATATCACACTATATTATTAATGTTTACTTATTGGTCACTACAATTAAATCATTTGGTATTCCCCAGTAGTTAGCACTGTTTATTTATCAGCTATCAATAGCCTACCCTAGTTGTCATTTACATTATCATCGTATTCTTCAATTCTTCTCGACTATTCTAGAAGTCCTTTTGTTAAGCAGGCAAATATATGTCATTCAGGGCATGATTTATTACCCTCTGCGTCTTTAGTACAGAGGTTGCCGATCATCGGCCTGTGCCTGCCTACGGGCATACTCACGAATCAAGAGCTCATGCTTGTACGTAATAATGCTTACACGATGTATATTGGTGTTTAATTTTTGTGTTTGTCGGTGGTACAATTCGTTCAAATGATACATGTATATGTATGTGTAACGCATATAATGTGAGTATATACATATATATATATAT